CAACATACCCTGGAAGTGGACAGTTAAGAGGCTTATTCCATATCAAGAACCTAGAACACCTGCTGGACCAAGGTTCTCGGAAGACTGCTTGAAACATTAATTTTCTTCACATACTGTTTTTTATCTTCGTTTCTATACTCAAGGATGCTGTTTTATATGAATACCAGCTCTGGTCCAAACACTGTTATCACTAGAGAGCTGTTTATCTCTGAACTCTGTATGGGTTCTTGGTCTCGTGGAACAAGGCGGCTTTTTTTGTTTGTTTAAATGAGTTACAAGAAGCTTTACGCTATTAATTTTATTAGCTTTTCTATTAGTAGAAGTTTGAAGCCTGATCCTTGCAGGGTCTCTGATCTGTGTGATACTTTCCTTCTTAAGGGCTGTCAAGAAGGAATTGATCATCTAAATATTATGAAGATGAAAATGGACTTTGTACCTTTTAAAGTTTGTGCTCATGCCAAAAAGCAACTTTAATTAAAATCTTTGTTTTAATCTTGCAGTGGTTCTTGCTGCAGATGTTCTAAGTGAAGACCAGATTAGTGCAGTTTATTATTCAGCAGATTAAGCTGTTTGAAACCTTCCCAGCATCTAGTGCTGTGAAAATATTTTTGTTGTTGTTAGGGATCTAGTAGTAACGTAGATTTTGTTCTTGGAAATCTGTGAAGTTTCTTTAGTTTGTCCTTGGATGATACAGGATAAATACTGGGATAAAGGTAGCTTTATATATAGCAAAGTACTGCCTCTGTGGTTCAGACCTTTCATAATTTCCTCCCTTCATCTGAAAACTGTTCCGAGGCAAATTGTCTATGACATGTAGAATGTTGTGTCTTTCTTTCTTAGTGTTTTCATTGCGTAATATCCCTTTTTGGTGTATTACACAATTTATCCTTGAATAGGAAATGGAATATTTAGGCTTGCAGTTTTACGTAATTTAGAGAGGAGGGAGGAAGAAATGAAAAAAGTGGCCGAGGATTCCCAGGCCTCGCTTTTCCCTTGCCCCTTCCCGTGGGGTGCTGCTGTTTTCCGTATGAGCGGAGCACTCGTGTCCCAGCTCCCGGCCCCGCGGCGCACGGGGAGGTTCCTTGGTGCAAGTCAAACCCTATGGACCCATCGCTTAGACCTGGAGCCCCCCAATTCTGCCAGCCCGGGGGTTCTGTGAGCACTTGAGCACCCCCTTTTTGGCTCCTCTTGATAAACCCAACAGTTTAGTCATCCGCGCGTTGCTCATGGCTCACACATGTGCCCGTATCTCTTGCCCTTGCCTTCCAGCAGTCTATTTCCTGATAATAACCCTATTAATGTCACTTGGCAGTGATTATTATTTCTTTTCATCCAAGGCCTGACAGCCAACACACCTTTGAAGTCCCTGAAGAATTAGTTGCCTTGGGAATTTTTCATGTTGCAGCCTATTCTTGTTTTCTTCATTAGCTTTCAGTGATTTAAACTGAATGCACAACAGTCATCTTCATAATGTCATTAATGAAGCTTCCTAACCGCGCTCATGGGCATTTGGGGCATTTTGCAGAAAGTCAATAAAAACATTACAAAACACAAATAATAATGGAATATTAATAGAAAGAAGAACAGTCTGCAAAGGCATAAACATCAAAGCCTTAAAGGTGTTTAGGAACTAGAGTTTTTTGAAGATTACCTCTATTTTTTTTTTAAGACAACAAAACAATGAAATACCGAAAAGAAATAACGAACTAGGAATAAAAGGCCAGAAGGCTGTGCAAAAAATCAAAGCACGAAAAAAGTCAGAAGACTGTGGAAACTTATAAACGTGGATTCAACAACACTGATTATACTAAAGCAGCAAGTTTTAACTGACAAATGTGGATTGAAAGAAAGAAAGACTCACCTACTTGTGTGGTCCTTGTATATTGGGATGCTCATTGTGGTGCAAGATACGTGTAAGGTAATTACACAGTCAAAACTGTGTCATTAGGGACCTGATAATCTTTTTGTTCCTGTCATTCAAACGTGGCAATAATTACATAGGATATTTGCATGCTGTGTCATCCGTTAGACTGATGATGTCTTTAGCTGGAACTTCAGGCTATATCTTTTTATAGTCATGGCACGGTCCATGGCAGTAGTACGAAGTCTTCAGCTCTTTTAGTCTGAAAATGTGGAGAAAATTGCTTGGCTCCCTTTCCAGTCTCATGTCTTTCTTTTATCCTAAAACCACAAGTAGAGCTGGAAAATGGATATTTCAGAAGTGCTGAATTTTACTGCTGTCTTGTAGAGCAGCTAATGATGGTGGAAATGACTTTACAATTCTTGAGGAATGGGCACCTGTTCATACTAGTTGTGTGTTGCTGGGGTTCGTGTGCCCGTTTAGGCTTCCCTGTGCCTGCTGGTGCTCCAAACCAGAAAATAAAGTTCTGCCTCGTAGTTGTTGCTTGCAGGAAAGGTGGGTGCACCCGTCACCTCCTGCATACACTGCTGCTTCTCCCAAAGACTAATTAGCCACTTTGAGCACTAAGTGAACACAAAATAGTGAACCGTGCACCCATTTTGGTCTGTTTTCTTTCCCTGATGCTCTGTCTAGGTGACTGCAGACAGCATTCTGTCCTTTTCGAGCATTCCCAATTCTTTTGCCTTTAAATTTCATGCTTTAATGTGATGGTGAAGGCCAGTTGTTACGGATTTTTTTCTTGTTAGCATTCCCCAATAAATTCATCTGAGGAGTACTTTGACTTTTGTTTTCTTGCTTAAAAAAAGGTATGTTTTCCATTTAAGTGGGCAGTTGTTCAAGGGTGTTGCAAAACTGTGTTACACAATGCAAGAATTCCTAATACATAAGCAATAAACAGGCGTGGTAAGCCACTGTCAGCTATTTAGGTCAGTATGCCATGAATCAGTATTTATTATCTAACGTTTTCAGAGTATGAAACTCTGACCTTTTGACTGTGCAGTTGGTTTGCCCGCACAAGGATGCGATTTATCCGCAGAGGAAGTGTCGCCTCGGGAATCTCGGCATCCACGGGCAGCTCTCTGGGATGATCTGTTAGTATTCGCACCACGCACAGCTTGGGCAGCCTTTCTTGTCTTTCATAGCTAAGTGCAGAGTGGAAGGCATTAAAAAAACAAAAAGTGTGGTTTTTGTGCAGTTTCCCTTACCATTTTTGGTAGTTTTCTTTTTTCCAAGGCCAGGTGTGACCTTTAAATGCCTATGGAATATAATTTATGTGGAGTCATTTCATAAGCATTGACCAAAAAGCATATTGGTGGATACAGCTTTGTCCTAAGATTTTTTTTTATCAACATCATGTTCATCTAATCAGATAATCTGCCAGGGCTCCTATTTAATAAGAGTCAATATTTCCAAATTGTAGCTCTTGTTGTCCAAATGCCTCCGTTATAGTGGATCTTGTAGCTATTGCTGCTGTTTGTGACTGCACTGAAAACACTTGAGATCCTTCAAGGGGGAGCCAAAGAAACCAAGCTCAGAAGAAGGATCAGATAGTGTCTGAGTTGAGCACCCAGCTCCTGAGGGGAGTAGATACTGGTTGGTAAGTCATCTAAAACCCGCTGCAAGCCAAATAAACCAGTATCTGTTTGGCCTAATGAAGGGTGCAGTGGTTTGTGCCCAAAAGTCCTTCTGAATCTCCTGCAGTGGGTACTTGGGAATAGCAAACCTTTCCCCTCGGGTTTTCAGAAAATGACGAACTGCATCCAGTTATAGGGAGAGCCTCATAGGATAGTCCTGTATCTCCTCCTAGGATTCCAGAACTGTTATCCTCTGTTATACCATTACAAGTCCTGGCAGTGCATCCAAAAGCTGTGTGCTGTTTGAAACTCTTGCACAGTTCAATGACTCATGATTCCTGAAGGGAATTCGATGAGGTGCTTGTCCATCTGTCTGTTTTTCAGCAGGGAACACTTCTGATTCCTATGTTTCAATTCATTGCAACAGAAAAGCTCTCGTGTTCTTAGCAAATCTCCCCCCAAAATGAGGGTTTCTGTCACTATTATGGCAATTGAGGAAGTGACTCTCGCAGCTTCTTGTATCACTGGCTTTGTATCAACCATTTCCACGTTTGTGGGCATAGCAATTTTCTGTAAAAATTACTACAGGTTACATACTAGTAACCTAAAAGTCAATTACTGCTACTAATTTTTAAATTTAAAGGAAGTTGCTGAGCAACACAAGGAAGGGAAGTCGAGTCAGGATTGAGATTTTTTTCTTTCCAAAGTTTTGGGGTGTCTATCTAATGGTGCCAATGGGCTTTGCGTTGGCCGCAGTGGGAATTTGGTCGCTGTCTGCTTCTGAAAATCCTCCTGACCTTTCCCGAATCCTCGCTGACCGGGAGA